AACGGACAATTTTCTACCGATATGTCGACGGACTCGTCTGAACTCGTATATCTCATGTCACCGTGTTCTAGGCTGCGATACTTCTTAGTCTCATTTGGTCGAGCTCTATAGTTTGAAAACTATGCATTAAGTACGACAAATCTGTTGCACCTAAAGTGTTGAGAATAGAACACTCTGAAAGACAAGTTTCGACTTCTGTTAACCTCGTGCAGTTCAAAAATCGAACTAAGAGCTATGAGTTCTTTATTGTAGCATTGCTACGTCTGATTATACAAAAAGCTAGCTCTGAGAAAAACTAGTCAAATGATGTAAAACAAAAAAATTATCGGTTGAAGTCAGTCAAACTGGTTCATACAAGTATTCCATAGTTCCGAACCATTTGACAACGTTGTGATCTCGAAAAATCTCCGCTGCCTGATCGACAGAACCAACCATCTGGTAATGTTGCTATGACTAACCTCGCCACTAGCCAGTTACTTCGCCACCCATCGGTCAGACCGCGTTGCAGGATATACCTATCTACCCAGAGACGCGTGTCTTGAAAATATGCAGCTATAATTCTGATTTTTAAGCGAAAATGTACTGGTAAACCTATGAGCTGTGAACTATGTCTGATAGGTGCGTGTGTAGGATACGAACGAAATGATAATATTAGAATATATCAATAAACGTGAAAATCACAAACTCATCGAAGTACCACCATGTACCATTTCATTTTTACTACAAGGGCAGTACGTAAACAATTCGATATGGGCAACAATGTCAGGATAATATTAAACTTACTTGGTGACGGAACGGCAACGAGTTATCCTCCTTTGGCAAGCGATAAGGGCGATACGATCGGATTGTCGGGGCCAATATCTATTTTTAGAAAAATGACTTGAGTACCTCCCATATTCAACCGACTCATAACATGCACTACCTTAGGATTACATTAATTATCAGCAGTGGTACCAATGCATCGTTATTTATTTTTAATTTATCATATCTACGAGCTCCTTCCCACTTCAGTTGGCCCAACTATTGAAATCTTAGTTTTTTTCTTATCAAACACAAATAATACAAATGTAGCAGGGTTTAATAGCTTTAAAATATTAACAATGAATATTTTGATAATATATAGTAGAAAACACCAACTTTATCACTCCCTAATCAAATTTGCGGCATAAAAATAACACATGTTGCAATTACAGCATATCAACCTATTTTCATTTCAATGCAAAATAAGTCTATAACGCATAGGTGGCTGTGAACAATAAAAGCCATGACAATTGTTTTTATTAATCACAGCTGTCAGAATACGTTTAAAATAGTTTTGGGTAGTTAAGGTTTTCAAAACGGGTAGAGGAAAGGTTATTAGTGAGAAAATTCGGTTACTGATAATTAATTTTTTTAATTCTGGGAAATCAAACTCAGAAATTGCAACTTTGTTAGACTTATCGCGGTAAAGTGTGTTAATATTAAGCCACGATATGTGAAAAAAAGTAATATCACAAATGCCGACCGAAGAGCATTAAGAAGAATAATCGTGAAAAACAGGCGTGCTAATTATTTACAATTAAGTGCTCTGTGGAGTGACGCTCTTGGAAGGAGAATTTCGAGGTCCTCAACTCATAGAGAGGCCCACAAACTGGGATTTAGCACTTGCAAGGTAAGTTTACTTATAAAAAAAAGTGAAGTAAAAACCCTAAAGTTGCACAACTTGTTTATAGGCCAAAGAAAAGCCACTATTAACTCCACTGCAAAAGAAAAATCGACTTAGATGGGCTAAAGAACATAGACAATGGACATCTCAACAAAGGTGTGCAATAGGTACAATGGAGTGATGAGGCCCGATTCGAAGTTTGTGTTGCTGACAGTCGCAGTAGAGTTATTCGCAAAAAAAATTAAACATTCCATGTTGACTGCCTGAAGAGAAAAGTTAAATTTCCAGCATCCATTATGGTCTGGGGCAGTATGTCATCAAGAAGAGTAGAAAAACTTCATTTTATTGATGAAAATGTGGATACAAACAAATATTTGGCAATTTTAGAAGAATCGCTTTTACCAGTGATGGAAGAATGTTTGACATCCGGCCAAGATTTTGTGTTTCAGCAAGATGGTGCAGCGTGCCATACCTCAAAAAAGGCTATAAAATGGATGTAAGAAAATAATGTACCACTTTTGAAATAGGTTTCTAGCAGTCCAGATCTGTCACCTATTGAAACTTTGTGGCACGAGATGAAAAAGGTTCTACGACAACAACCTGCTCGTACAATCACCGAATTGAGACAAAAGCTTCAAGAAATATGGGATTATTTTACACCAAATTTTTGCCAAAACTTTGTTAACACTATGCCTCAAAGAATTTCAGCCGTAATAAAAAATAAAGGTGATGTTACCCAATAGTAATCCTTTAATTGTTGCTTTGTTAACTTCGCGCATTTATTCGCACATTGTTTATTTGTTCAGATGTTCTATTAGTTATAGGTCTAAGTGATTTCAAATATGTATTTTTTACGACTAGAGTGTATCTAAAATGTTTTTGAGAAAATAAATTGTTTTAGAAGTAAATAGTTTCATCATGTTTAGTTTATAAAGGCATATTTTGGTACAAATCTTGAAGTGGGCCAACTGAAGTGGGAAGGGGCTCGTAGACTGGACCGCAGACCCTAAGAGCGGGGCCACCCCCCTGGGACACAGAGTCACTGGGACACAGAGTCATCCACTTAAGTAGGCAATTTTAAGCACACATCAGCCTATGTGATCGACATAGTATTAAGCACACAGCACCCTATGTGATACCCAGGCGTATATAGACAGATATGCTGAGTTTAGCGATTGTTACTAAAAGCAGTCAAGGGTCCAGGATATCACGTTGGCCATTACCTCTTAATCAGAGAATACCGAGAAAGATGACAAGCTAGAATAACAATCCCTACGCACATCCTGCCATGAGATACATTCAGATGCCAGCGATTACCAATAGAAGATCGTTAAGCGGTCATTCAGACCTAGGACGGCACTTCGGCCAAAGGCCACCGTGTCAACATCCCAAGCGTTCCGACGGTTCCCCTGATAGAGGAAACCGAGCAGTAAGTAACATAACTACCTAAACCAAGCAAAAAAGTCCCACAACAACCCCCAGAGACTGGAGGCGTCACCCCTGTATGAGCCACCTAATTTCCCTATTCCTTATCCGCAATTATTGAGTCCGTAAGCCATTGATAGAAATATGAATATATGATCCAAGCATCTTTATAAATATGAATATATGCTCAAAGCATCTTTATAAATATGGATATATGCTCAAAGCATCTTTATAAATGTGGATAGATGATCAGAGCCTCTTTATAATTATGGATATACACCTATAATCAAAGCATCTTTGTAAATACGAATATGCTCAAACCACCTTTATAAATAGGGCTATACGATCAAAGTTTCTTTATAAATATGGCTTACGACATTCAAGATCATGAATATAAAAGTATTATGGTTATCCATCCATGCAGTACAGCAGAATAAAGGAAACACTCAGTGATTGCTCACCTTTCAGGTAACCAAAACACTACACCCAATAGCACATCAACACTGTAATTAGGTCCACAAAGCGCACTACTGGGTCTGAGAAGCGGTCTCTTCCACGCACTATTTGAACTGCATTGCCAGCCAAGCCCGTATCTTTAAGAAAGTTTATCCTGGGAACAAGTACCTGGAGAAGGAATGGAATGTATAACATAAACAGGCGTAAGCAGCCTTGTGAACCTCCTGGAAAGATTTTGTGTGCTACAGGCCTACTGGGTTGAACTGGCATGCAGAAATGAGTTTGAGATATTTCGCAAGCTTACACGTGGAATTATTGGGGCTCGAAGCGTATAAATATGCTAACACAAAAAAAACAAATTTAACCCCAACAATGCTTTTTTTCTCAAAAGGACCACCTTGGCATATAGTAGTAATATCTTATGTCAATACTTCATAGGAATGTAACTAGTACTTCCCATGTGGCCAAGGTTATTCGATAGGAAGAAATTAATAAAATTATATGGACAAGAAGAAGTGTAAAAGACTGGAAAAAGCAAGCAATTTATGGATAAGGAAATGAGTGTGAAATGTATGGAAATTTGGTAATACCTAGCAGATTTGCTGGTGATTCTCATTGTACAAAAGAAGTGATATCCAAACATTTGTTATTGTCAGATTCGTAATGCGTGCAGTATGATTAGCTCAGGTATATCAGCTTCTTTATTTAATACGATATCATGACGCAACGGACAACATGCTGAACTTGCACGGATTCTACTGGGTATCGCTATACATGCGAGTATAAAACCGACACCCAAGCTGCTTTAAAACGTACGTAAGCTGTGTAAGAAAAACCCTCATAATTTTTAACGACCCTGTAACTGCATTGTGGATATCAGTATGTGTGTGCTACAGTAATAATATAAATTACGTTATGTGAAATTAATAACGCTGTCCCTGGCTATAACTGGCGAGCCAAAAGGATAACAAGCAGCCGTTATGGATTTACGTGCGATCGACGCTAATTGGCGATTTTGCCTCCTGTGAATACAGGACAATGATAGACCCAGCGGCGTGGCTTTTAGAACATTGCGAGGTTGTGCTGCAGTTTATCACCCACGTTTTTCTTATATTTTATATCAATATTCAATCCGCCTGAGTAGTGGCTCTTTCACAATACGCGGCATCAAGCCTAGAGATTTAACATAACGGAAAAAAAACGGGAAAAATTAGGAAAAAAACACGTTTTTTCCAGACCATGGGAAAAAATGGGAAAATTTAACTATTTTTTAATTGTGACTTGAAACGTAAAAAATAGATACCAATTTTAAAGTTTTTTGAACATATTTTGTAAAATTAAATACAAAAAACATACTTTAATAATATCTATTAATATCTAAGATATAAATACATACGTGTATATAGGGTCAAATTATAATCATTATCTAATAATTGAAAGTATCAAAAACAAAGCGTTAAAGGTAGAAAACACATTATTTAACCAAAGCGCTCAAAGGTACATTTTCATCTGAGTCTAAGTTTGAATCTTCAGACCAAGCATCTGATTGAGACTCGATCTCCGCTTCGTCTTCATGGACAGACAAAACAGCATAATCTTTGCCAGTGTCTCCTAAAAGTGGAACTGGTCTAGCATCGTAAATGAATGTCTGTTTTTCGTTTATAAAATTAGAATGAATAGCAACCAGCTTCTGAATTTTATCCTGTGTCAATCTGTTTCTTTTGCTTGTATGTATGAGGCCGTGCAAAGACCAGTTTCTTTCTGAAGAGGCGGAAGATGGCGGTCCATTTAAAATTCGGGGGGCAATTGGCATAAGTGGCTGCGATGTACACAGGCCTTGCCACCATATAACGGGATGAGTACTATTCGCACTATCCCATAAAGAATTTCGACTAAAAAATCCAGTTTTTGTTCTAAATTGGGCTAGATTTGCCACCACCTTCCCTAGATCTAGATTTAGTGCACGAGCCATTTCAGAAATGAAGTCTATTGCTTCCATTAGTTGGTCTTCATTCAATTGATCTCCTTTAAAGCGAGCATCAAGAAGATTGGCTGCAAAGTGAATCGGCTTAGAACAAAATTATTAGCGTTCTCCAACATATTTTAGCAAGCTTTCGATAAGAGAACTAGTCAGGTCAACTTGTTGGGGAAATATCTAATATTGTGTCTTTTATATACTTAAAGGCAAAAGGCACTTCTGATGATATAGATCTATCAGAATCTACTATATTTATCGATTTTGATACAGGATGCAGGATTTGTTTAGCATATTGTAGGTTTTGCCAGAACGCATCATCCAATACAACTTTTTTAATATTTTGTTTTACATTCAGGTTTTCCACTAATACAGTACATTGCAGAGCTTCCTTATTTCTTAAAAGCGAATCAACAGTTATAAACAGAGAACCCCATCTTGTTTTTGCAGGTAATTTGAGGGAAATTACTTTATTTTTTGGGTATTTTTCGGCCTGTGCTTCTTTAAATGCAGCATAAAGTATGTGGTGCTATTTAAAATATTTACAATTTTTTTTAGACTCTTTACTTATTTTTGAAACAAATTTTCTTTCATAAAGTCCTTTAGTAGCAAATTCAGAGTGAGCTGCACAACCAACACAAGATATATGAGGATATGTTGTATTTATAATATACCAAGCAGCTTTCATATTGTTCGCATTGTCAGTCACTATTAAAAAAATTTTTGTGGCCGTGTTTCTTGAATAACTTTGATAAGTTCATTACTTATATACGTTGAACACCATAACACGATGAACAGTTTTGTAAAATAAAGGTATAGGCGTGCATATAACAATATTGATTAATCCATCTCCGACTATATTTGTCCAACTATCTGTAACTATCGGATTCAGAAAGCTTTTGACTTCGGTTTATCTGTACACGTTCATACTCGGAATTAAGTAAGTTTTTTGACAGGGCGAAGGGCTAGGTATTTGGTATGACGGTCTTAACATTTTAAAAGCCTGTTCCCAATATTTATTTTTGAATAGAGAAAAAGGAGCACCAGAAGCATAAAGAGCCCTAGCTAATGCCTCATCAATTTTAGAAGACTCTGAAACAGCTATCTTATCGAAAAATCTGCTCAATGTTTGTTGGCAGCTAGCTTTCTTGCGTTTTACTGATGGTAATGGAGATTCGGAAGATGATGCATTGATGACGTGCCCTTTTTGCTAGTTGAAGGGAGACTGGTATCTTCTAATGCTTCTAGCACGATAACTTTGTTACTTTCTTTTTCTTCTGACGTCGAAGACTTCGAACTCGATTGTATTTCATTGCCATATTTTTGTTTAATTTCCAAAGGACATTTTGATCATTGGTTTAATTTATGATTCGTCATGCGGGTTGCGTTTGGAAAGGCGTATTTAAAACAGCAAAACTTACACACAGCCTTGGATTTTTTATCTGTTTTTTCAATATCAAATAATTGCCAAATATCTGAAGAAGGTCGAACCATATTGTCCTGCAACAAGAAAAAAATACATAAATAAAATATCTTGCTGCACTTTATCAACTGATCAAAGTCTTGTAATTTAATCAGTATACAGATAATAATTATTATTACTGAATCTTGATATTAGTAATAAAGAAAAGTATGGAAAATATGCAAGGAAACTGAAATCCCACCTTCAAAACACTTAAAGCTATTCCAAATTTAATAAAATATTCACTTACCAGAAACCAAAACAAACACTTGGGTCAACAACACTAACAATCTTCAAAACAAACACACTCAATTATTACAGCAAAATTTCACTTTGTATTATTCATTTACTGCGCTTAGAATAAGGCTAAATTAAAGTGCGTGCTTTAAAATAAACAAGACGTGTCAATATTGAAGAATCTCATTCTCAACTGAACAATTCAGGAATACGGGGATTTACCGAAATGCCGTGTCGCTGTGCGTGATCGGGAATTAACCGAAATCAACAGGTATTTAACGAGAACTAATCCTTCAGAGCCGTAGCTTGCGGTTTTGATTCAAATTATTTCTGTTGGATTTATATTAATGGAAAAATCAGTAACCAGAATACTTTTATCTTGTATATAACAAATTTCAATTTTTCCGTATTTTTTCCTTTTTTTCCTCAATTTTTCCGGAAATTTTAAATCTCTACTCAAGCCCCATACTTCACCGACATAACGTATGTTTTGGCACAAAATATGTATCGGATTTTTTTTAATGAAGAAATTCGCGGCCTCCATGATAAACCTTCCTAGACAGTGAAGCCCAAAAATACATCTTAAAGCGAAAACTGCAAAATAAATAAATGTCAACTGACGGTAAAGTAAGTAAACAGACTTTTGTTTCCAAAGGCAGCTTGACATGATTTTGTGATTGTTAAAATTAAAGGTAATGAATTTTATGCCGTAACTTTTACGACATACGTTTCGCTAAAAATCTGTATTAAAAGAAAGACGAGTAGTCCTTGCATGTTTTCCTTCAGTTTACACCCTTAATCAGATGGGCATATGACTTCTTGTCCGATGTGCACACTAACGTTTCCATTTTGCGGTTAGCTTCACGTCAAAGTCGAACATAAAATAGTTAACCTGTCATGACTGTCAGTAGTTAGTGTTGTCAAAGACGCACTGCAAAACTGAACCCTACGCACAATTACTAACGCTTCTTGGTCCGTGTCAAATGAGACCATTCACAGAGATCTTGATATCCCATATCTAAGGGATTACGTAAAACAACAGGCGCAGCAGCGTTATAATCAAGCGAAATCGCACAGCAACCCTCTGTTGCGTGATTCAGTAGACTACACAGTCGAGCAAGCTCGCAAACATTCCGGGCCGCGCCTCGCACTGTGATCAAAATTAAATTGTAAATTCACACCAGCCAAAATTATTTCAGTATACAAAACCGATCAAAATTATTTTTTGGAGTTACAAAATAATTCGAATAGTGCTCTATTTCTTCTTTCCTTTATTTCCTTCTTTCCCTTTTCCCCTTAAACATTTTTGGTATCTGGGTAGCCAGACCTGACAGACTAAAAGACCGACGAGACTTTTAATTAAGAGCAAAGGTCCACCGGACGGCTCTGACGAATAATGACGAATAGTATTATTACGGTTCACTTTAGTGGTCATAAAAAACTATTTTTTGCAACCCCATCCTTGTTTGATGTCGCTGTCAAAAATAACGTAACGTTGTACGTTGTCTGTCTCCAATAACTAGACATATACCGTACTGGTCATAGCTATAAAGCATTAAACAACGTTGTTTTCGGTTGGTTATGGTTACAGATGCCACGCCTTTTTTTTATAAATATGAGGAAATGGTGCTGTGATTCCTCTTTCCCTTTTTATTGTTTGAATATATTAATAAATTATAAAATTACTATAAATGAAATCTCAGGATCAGTCAAAGCAAAACAGCTGTCAAGTGCCGCGCAAATTTAGGCCCTAGCTCAATAAAGCGGAGAGTAGGGGGGGTATTAACAGCGCCAGTGACTCAAGACGGATTAAGCCCCGAGTTTTTTTTTGTTTTGCGTGAAAGAGAAAGAAAAAAAATCTAATACTAATGATGACACCTAATTAATTGTATACAGAGAGCCAAATAAAACAAGATATCTAAAAAAAAAAGGAATCAATATATTGCCAAAACAAGCAGCACATATGCTTCACCACTGGAATGTAAGTTAAAAGAAAAGGTGGTACTAAAAACTACATAACAATAAAATTAATAGACCGTACTGTACGAAGGCTTCACAAATATAGGTCTTCCAAATATTTCAATGCCTCAACCTATACTTATCTGGACAATGGTCTTCTTCCAGTTACAGGTCTAGGCGTAGCTGTGATGTTCTCAGGTCTCAAAAACTCAGGTCAAAAATAAGTGGCCAGTAGTGACCAGTGACGTAAGGAACGTCACACGGTAGGGGCTGCTTGCCTCGTTCTCAAAATTTATGGTATAAAAAAACCGTACAGAGAGAAAAAGACTGCTTAAAAATCTTCTCTCTACTCTATGTCTGAGACATAACTAATTCTTTAAAAGACTAAAAACTTTGAGAAAAATCCATGCACATTCTCTTTTACAAGAAAACTACTTTTCTTTCTGCAAGGGCAAGAAAATATAAAAATTTACAAAAGTGATATACCCTCAGAGTTATCCCTTGTTCTAAAATAAGTTATGGTAGCTCAAAATTCAAAATCATGATCAATGTAATCTAATAAGCTCAAAAGACAGTGACATGTATATCTGAATACATAAAATGCCAGACAAAATCAAGAACACAGTAAGAACTTCAGTCAGCAACAATCAATATATCAATATCTATAAAATACCCAAATTAAAATTATATGTTACATGTTCCTGTTCACATCAAGATTTTTATAAAGGGGAAGAGATGGCTTCCAACAAAATCAGCTGCGAAACAGCTACAGAACAAAGCTGGGGGAGTGTGAATGGTGATTCTCCACAATGGCTTTCCGCTAAAAGGAATCAGATATTGAACAAACTTCTTCAGGACAAGCATTAAAGGACGTAGTCCGTTGGTATACAAAGGAGAACTTACCGCTGGAGGTTAAAATCCCATTACAAAATGGACGGTTAGTACCCTAACCAACACAACTAAACGTAAGGTGCAAAATAAAAGGGCACTCCTCCATAAACTGGTGTTTGGGGCGTTAATATCCAAAAATCTGGAGGTTAACGAAAAAAACGCCCGCACACAACCAAAGTCACAGCGGAAAGCAAAAGTAAAATGGTGCTGGATGCGTCGGCACGCACTTAAAGGAAGGTATCTTGATAGTAAATCACATTTCAAAAGAAAGTAACTTGATAGTAAATTA